TTTAAAGTTTTTAACATATTTGACCCCTGTGACCTTGAATATGGGTGAAGGTCATTCATTTGAACAAACTTTGTAGCTCTTCATATTAGCATGCTACTGGCCAAATATCATCACCCTGTGCATTTTGGTTATTGAGAAGAAGTTGTTTTAAGTTTTTAACATATTTTACCCCTGTGACCTAGAATATGGGTGAAAGTCATTCATTTGAACAAACTTTGTAGCCCTTCATCACAGCATGCTACTGGCAAAATATCATCACCCTGGGCATTTTGGTTATTCAGAAGAAGTTGTTTCAAGTTTTTAACATATTTGACCCCTGTGACCTTGAATATGGGTAAATGTCATTCATTTGAACAAACTTTGTAGCCCTTCATCTTAGCATGCTACTGGCCCAATATCATCACCCTAGGCATTTTGGTTATTCAAAAGAAGTTATTTAAAGGTTTTTTAAGACAATTGACCCCTGTGACCTTGAATTTAAATGAAGGTCATTCATTTGAACAAACTTGGTAGCCCTTCATCCCAGTTTGCTTCTGGCCAAACGGACGACGGACGCTGCACCACGGCATAAGCTCACTTGGCACTTCGTGCCAGGTGAGCTAAAAAACAGTTTTTCTTTCATACTCATTTATTAATCATTTATTCATAAGCGAAGATCACAATCTCACCTGAGACGCTAGTGCTGCACGTGATGTGTGAAGAAATCGTGCTGGTCCAAAAAGGCCAAGGGCCTGAAAAAGAAAATGTGATATAACCCGGTAGGTTAACAGTCTAGACGTTATGTTCCTATAACCAAAAAGAAATCACAGAGAACTACCACAGCATTATTTATTTTTATACAACAACTTTTGAAATATCTTAACGCGAGTTTCTGAAATCAAGCAAGGAATATAGAGCATAAAACTGTTATGATTTAATATTCCATGCTCTATTTCAGAAATCCTGCTTCATATTTTTAAAAAAAACTCAGACTGTCTCTGATTTCTACAGTTTTGTGATCAGGAATATTATTTTTTCTGCTTTTAAAACTCTTGTAAATGTAGATGAACTAGACTGAGTTGATTGCCAGTAACCAGGTAGCTCAATTGGTTAGAGCAGGCTTCTATAGTTCAGAGGGTCCCGGGTTTGAACCCCCTGTCTGATCATGAATTTCCACTCTCCTTTCACATTTGGTGCCAAACGAAATATACCCATGGCCACAGAAGGTGGTATAGGGTCTTGTGTGTCTTCGGAGTAAAAGACGTTGTTAAAGGACGGAGGAATGTAGCGGAACTGGACTAGGTCAATCATTGTCAACCAGGCAGCTCCATTGGATAGAGCGTCCGTCTAAGAGTTTGAATCACACATATTACTGTTAAATTTACACAGATGAAATATCTCTCTTCAAATCTGAAATTCGTTAGTGTACAAAAAGAAATTAAATATTAAGGTGAAACACTTTCTGCTGATTAAATCAGCAGAAAGTGTTTCACCTTAATAATTAATTTCTTTTTGTACACTAACGAATCATTATATTAAAGCTGACAGTCCAAGTTTAAAAGCTTTCAATTAAGATTAGGAAAAAAAAATCCTATTTTGAGATCTTCCCAATCTCTTAAGGCTGTAGTGACTAAGGAAGCGGCGACATTTTAGAATGCACTTGCTAGGTAACGAGTATGGGTCTCCCTGAACGATTCAATTATCAAATTTCACATTGTTGACTTTTGAATATGTTTTGCTAACTAGTTAACCGTCTACAAGACAAAAATCTAAGAGTTCATAACAACAAGCTTGGCAGTGTTTCAAAGTCTTCAGGTATCCGTGAGTGCGTTTGATTTTTAATATCGGTTACCGAACAGGGTGTGTGGTGCATTGAATCGCAGGACAGTCAGCTGTAAAATGATTACTGGTTTGACAGGTTATGCGCTTTTTATATCCAGCGAGATCCATTACACGAATGTTACCAAGCAAGGGCAAACTAATATACTAAAAACTAAAACACTTCCTTAGAAACGATAGTAGGAAGCTATGGAGAAGATCTCATAACAAGAAAAAAGATTTTAATCTCAAAACTTTTTATCTTGTGCTGCAGTTATTTTGTTTTTGCTCAGTTTTTGTTTCCCTAGCTAAAAAGTGCCTTATTTACCAAAATGACCAAAAACTGAAAAACATGTTTCCAATTTCAATACAAAGGAACAGGCTGTTGTTAAATTAAGGTAGCAAAAACACTGCACTGTCATCCAGCTTTAATATTTTATAAAGCATCTTCTTTTCGGTTTATCCTAGTTCAAAGATACGGTTTTATCGTTGTAGGTTTATATCGGCCTTTAGAGAGATAACCCTCAGACTCAAAGTCGGGTGAATCCCCAACCTGTTGTTGAACATGTTATCTTTGTCATCATGTTGCAATGAAGTCTGTATATTTCTAAGTCACATAGACCTGTAGAATGTCTTTTCATTCGTTTTTGAAATCAATTTAAATGTCAGTTAAAAAATGATAGTTTGACACTGCATTAAAAGAACCATTATTTTGCTTTTAATCTCAGCGTAATTTAAAATTATTTCATTTGCGATTTTCTCAGAACAGCATGTACGAATCTGAGGTCAACTCCAACAATAGCGACTTCAAAAATTACTCCGTTTGGGACTCGAAAAACGGCTACAGAAGACTTTGATTCAAATCATTATACATATTGCTAGAAATAACAAGCAAGATATTAATCGAAAAATATTATCTAGCCCGTATATCTACCTTTTTGGAACTGTGCCTCAATACATAGGCCATTTTCAGTTGCTACACCGGTGTCCTGTGGGTTAGTGAAGGGCACAGTGAAGAGTTCCAAAGAAGGGCGACTACTTGTGTATGAAATGAAATTCAGTTGATTATATTAGGCGCGGGCGAAGAAGTTAAGGGAGGTCACAGGGGCTCGTTACAAATGTCTAATACACATGTACATATGCTCTACTGATATTGGTCACAACACACATAACGAGGGACAGTTTCCGCCGAGCGAGACTAGACATGAAATGTTTGATAGTTTTTTGTTTGTTCTTGCGTTTACTGAGTTACAACTTTTCCTGTTCAAGTCAAACACATTGAATTCACTGACTTTGAAACGATTATAATCTACCTTTGCTCGTGATTGACTTAAGACGAAATATTTCCAAAAGTGCGACGATGCCTTTCTTATGAGATTTCACTTATAAAAGATATGTTAACCCAAAACCACCACCATTGATCCAAAACCTATATATATATATAATAATGTACGTCTCTGTTTCGCCCTAAGATTGTTTTTTTATGATCTACACTTAAGAAAAGTCAGTTTTCTACTGACAAACTTTTTTTGAGCATGTTGGATGGCAACTTTGGTAAAGTGACTACGTTGCAATAATAAATGTTCAGTTTAGCCTACCATGGTATGTATTCACTGATTTCTATTTTTGCGTCACCTGTTACGCGAGGCGACATTTAGGTATTACTGTGTCGGCGTCGTCGGTTGCGTCGTCCGAAACAAGGTTTCCGTATGATAACATGAGTTCTCTTGGGTTGATTTAACTCAAACTTGGTACACATATTGTATACGAATATAGCTCGAACCAGTACGCATTTTGGAAGTTTACGTGTATTTTTGGTTAAGTGATGCCCCTTTTATTGCCAAATAAGGGCAAGTACATATATTATGGGTTTTTCTGTCGAGTTTCAACTTTCCGCGTTTTGACATATCTGTTGACGCAAAACTCAAGCCAAAAGACTTAATGTATTACTTAAAGTGCTGAGCAGGCGACACATCAACTCCCGTGGAATTTTCAAGTATTGAAACTTAGAACAAGATTTGCTTCTATAAAATGAATCGCTACTTTTTCGTGATTTGTTTGTGCTATACTTCATTTCAACTTAAACATATATTTCACAATAGTTTAATTTGTTGTTACCCTTTACCAAGAAAATATGAAACTTTGTCTTCATGCAGAGATTCTTTTCGCAGCAGCTTATTGTAAATCCGTAAACATTTTTTTTAATTGTCACAAAGAATCTAGTCAAATTGAAATAATCTAACAGTAATTTATACAATGAAACCTGTCTAATCTGACACTCCTCCATCTAGTCGTATCTGATGACCTTTTCCCCATTTTCGTCTCGCCTGTGATGGATGTCACATAGTGAGAAGACATCACCCTTCCTGTGGCAGCAGCAGCAGGCTCATACCTAAAGTCGATCTTAACCCCTAGAACATGTAACATTTCTCTGAACACCTTAGTATAGGTCCAACTATAGCTATAACAAATTGTCAGGTCCCTGTGGGTAGGAGTAACCGTATATGTTCATTATAAATATTGAGAATACCTACTCGAGTGACCATCAGGGCCCGTATTCATGAAACCATTATCATGCTTAAGCATGGATTTTGTGCTCATGTCTAATTTCCAGTTATACCTTGTTTAGAAATTCATATTTTTTTGTAGTTTTGGACAAAAATTGAAGAGACTTGAAGCCGAATAATATTTTCAATATTTAAATCTGCCTTTTTGATCTTCGACATGATTTAAGTGAGATACAAAAAATGTGCCCTGAGCACAGAATCCATGCTTAAGCATGAGAACGGGTTCATACATACGGGCCCAGGTGTGAATTTAGAGGGGCTTAGCCACCGTAGCCCCCGACCCCCACTCCCCCACTGAATTTCTTTTTAAAAAAGGGGGAATCAAAATTAAATAAATCAGATATGTCGATATTTTTCGCTCAACATCTATAGCATTGCCCCTCTCATCATAAAATTACTGAAGGTCGCACCTGTCTGTAATTCTGAAATACTCTCTGTAAAAAAAATGTTGGTGGTGTAGAGATAGTCAGAACGGCCTTCATATTGTCTCTTTGAATAAGTTACGCCCTAGGTTTGAATCGCACTTAAATAATAAAGTTTTCTTGTACATACCGAAGCATGTATGGTATGCATTATTGCAATTCGATGGGATATAAAACTTTCTTGGCATCCAAATTCGCTTGAAAATCAGCCAAATATGGTGTAGATTAAATATAAAGTTACGGTCGGTTAGTATGCTCTTTTTTAAGTCTATGATTCTTGAATTTATTTAAATTCTTCTATCTTTCCATGATATTTTTATGCAAATAAATACGATGTTGAACTGACTTGATCTCTCAATAAACTTTAAAGCTGAATTGATCTGTAAGGTATGCCAGGGGAAGGCCCCAGAACCCCTCGGTGACAGTACAAAAACATTTCCTATGGAAATTGTTTTCCCTCGGCCGTCGTTCAAAATATTTAACCGCACCTGATGCTTACACACAGTTAACCATTTGGTACTTCCGTCTATAGCGTTAACTTCTGGCGGTTAAGCCTCCAAATCCCGACCTAACCCCGACCCCCGACCGCGACTCCCAAACCCTGAACATCCGACTATGCCCCCCCCCCC